ATTACTATCTCTACAGCTCTCCAGGCATTACTGCAACCAATGAGTTGTAGCTATAATCATCCAATAAAATCTCAGTGCTCATTTTTGAATGTAGAGTGACATTTTTCTGTACATTTGACCTACTTGTGAGGTCTTTTTTTTTTGTATGCTTTTCCCTCACACAATCTAATACTAGGGAAGATCAGTTCTTTTGGTTTTTAAATGTCTTTTTGATCTTTTTAAATCTCATTCAAGTATACTTGAAAATTTTATCACTGATTTCTACTATACAGTGGCTGAGGAGCTATTAACTATGACAGATGATGTGCAAAAGTGTTTTATTTCCTATTAAAAACTCAAAAGAACTTCAAATGATGCTGCTGAAGCTGCTGCTGGTAATAGTACTTTCTGCTATGTTTTTTGAAAGTATTTCTCTTCGCTTCATTTATGTACGTATGTATGTATGATGTATGTATTTTGGCACTGGGAATAAAAGCCAGGGATGCTCTACCACTGAGCTACATCCTTAGCCCTTTTTCACTTTTTAAATCTTTGAGATAGTGTCTTACTAAGTCTCTAAGTTGCTCAGGCTGGCATCAAAAATGTTATCCTCCTACCTCAGCCTCCCAGAGTACTGGGATTACAGGTGTGTACCATCACCCCTGGCATTTCCTTCAGTAATTTTTAAAAAACTGATAAAAGAAGAATAATAACTTTCTGTTAAATAACTGATTTAGGTAAGAAAAGGTGTTTACTTTTACTAAAGATAAGCTGCTATGTTTAAATAAAAGTAATATATTTTAAAATTTTCATTTTTAACGTGAAAATTATTGGCTGTCATTAATACACTGACTTATCACAATAATAGTGAAGATTTCAAAACTTCTCATACTACATTTTTCCTTGCATTTCATTCATTTGCATATTACATGATGACATTATCAGGTATTTGCCAATTGTGTTGCCTTTATTTTTCTGGGAAGTAAGTTCTACTAGTGAAAAAACTGTCTCCTGTGTCTTTCATTGAATGTTATTATTCCTTTAAAATATCCCTTACTTTGTTTAGAGATTCTAGTAGCCCTTTAAAGTAATCACTGATTTTTTTGAATCTTTAATTTTATTTTTTTGTTTATAGGTATGCCTTTTCAATTTGGCTTCAATTCTAAGTTGTTTGTCATAAAGAATGCTCAAAAAAATTGGAAAGCTTGAATTACCAGCCATTTAAAATTTAAGTAGTTTTCACTAGTGTGCTACATTGTGTGCATGTGTGTGTGTGTGTGTGTGTGTGTGTGGAGAGAGGACTCAGATCATTGTAATTCTTCATCAGTAGGGGTATCGGACTTAACAGTAGACCTAAGCCTACTTCTATTTTATACCTCCCTTAAAGAGTCACCATATTATATCAGCAATAGGAGTAAAATTTAAAAAAAAACCTAGCTTCAATTATTTAACAGAAATTTATCATCGTTGGTTTCTGAGCTTTAAAACATAAATAATATAAAATATAAGGCATGGGAAATAACTAAATGAGAAAAATCACCTAAAATATGAAAACTTTAAGCATAATTCAATTTGAATTCACATAATTCAAATTTTGTAATGTCTCCAACAGAAAAGTGGTAGGGCGCAGCTAAAATATGGCTTGTACTTTAGGACAGAAATTTTTCCCAAATCAGTTGGTATCTGATGACAGGTTAGGAAGACAAACTGGTACCACCAGACTCCTGATTTCCTTTTGTGCAGGCAAAGTGCTCACCAATCACAAGGACCTCCTTTATCCATGTTATGGCTTGTAACAGTCATAGCACAAGGTTTTTTTAGAGGTGGCTGGATATAGGGTTTGCGAATGTGAATTAAGGTTGTGTGTTACTAAATTAGCTCACTGATTGAAATTAGCACAGTTCTGGGTATGGCTAAGTAGATTTACTGGAGGCAGAAGCCCCACCCTGCAAGTGGGGGCGCTGCCAAAAGGCTTGTGGTCTTGATGGGATAAAAGAGAAAGGTGGGTTTACTGCTGCTGTTGCTGCTTGCTGTTTGGCTGCCTTCTTCCTACGATGTGGGCTGTGTATCCTCTGTGATGCCCCTCTGCCATGCTATCTTGTGTTGGAACCAGCCAACCATATATCAAAACCTCTACAAATGGTAAGCTGAAATAAATCTTTCTTCCTTTAGTGTTGGGTGTTGTGTATTTTGTTTTGCAATGAGAAAAGTAACTAAGACCATCCCCTCTCAAAACTAAAAACTGTCTTAAGCATATGAAAACAGTCCTACTGCCATGCCCAACTGAAAGACCTCTCTCAGTTGGCCTCACAGGCTTGCTTGGGCACTGGTTATCTCAGCAAGCAATAGCATTGCGAGGCACATAAAGGTTTGGTTTTCATTTTCAACCACACAACTCCTACCCACTTGAGAACCCTCACTGAGAAAAACTGCCCCAAAAGGAAGTAGTCCCACTCCTCTCCCTCCTGTTCTAAAAACAGATTATTGAGTGAAATTCTCTTGATCAATGAGTTAAAGAGGTTTTTTTAATATGTCTCCCGAATACACACACAGTACAACTGTTGAGTCATCTAGGACTTAGTCTGTCCATCTTTGAGATATTTGCATAACAGAACCTAGGTTTAATATACAGGAAGACGCACTATTCAGATTCCTGAGGACCCAGCCAGAGAGGGCATAGAGAGCTATGAGTCTCAGTGGTTTGCTTTTGGGTCAGTGTCTTGCTATTCTACTTGAAATTTCTAGCCAGTGACTGAGCCAAGTAGTGGCAGAAGAGGTGTGGTATTTTTATCAAGTGCAAGGCTCCTCCAATGAGCGGTTTTTGTCTGGAGAGGTCCTGTGGGCTGTTAGAAACTCTAGATCTATACTATCTAACCTGCTCCTTTCCTTTTGTAGGAATTACTGCCCAAGAAACTACTTTTACTCCCAAGTCCCATTTCAGTCTTCTCATCATGGAAAATCAAAAATGTCACCATTGGTGCCAAGAGGGATGAGATGAGGTTTTGGGATTGGACCCTTCACTAGCTGTTTAATAATGTGGATCCCATCCCTTGTAGATAACCCCTAGGCCAAAGTGGTTGCTTAATTGTAAAAATGTTCACTTAAATTAAGCTAGGGTGTGGAGCAGCAAAGATGCCCTGGAAGAGGGGTATGCTGCAACCAATGCTGTGGTAAAACCAAGGAATAATAAAAATCAAGGCAATGCAATTGCATGGTTATTACTACATTGTATTGAATCCTTTTGATATCTTGGAAAGAAGCCCTGACCTTATTCAGTGGAGGAGCTAAAAAAACTATTATTAAGCATAAGTTTTGATAGAGTGGTTCAACTCCAAAGATAGTTGAATGTTAAATGAAGAAGATCTGTGACATCAGTGTCAGGCTTTAGTTGGAAAAAAATGAGAACCTTGACTTGTGGGTTGGAGTGCCTGTAGAAGTTGCTCACTCTCAATCCTAAAAGCTATATCTCCCCCAAAGTCAGAAGATGAGCAACCCCCATCAGAAGCTGTCCCTACTGCTTTCGTGCCTCCAGGGCTATAATTGCTCTCCTGCTCGAGGCCTATGCTTCCAGAGCAAAGGGCAGCACAGGTCGGCTGAGGATAGATGAAATCTGATAAGGCCGGCCTACATTCCAATGAAGCTGAAGACCTGGCCATAATCGGGCTCATTCAGGCTGGAGTGAACCCATCATGCCGGAGGTTGAAGGTGCTTGATGAAGAAGGGCTGCATCTAGGCTGGTTATTGAAGACTTTATTGGGTTGGACTGAGGGCTCTTTTCTTAGGGTATAGGACTTAACCCTGAAAAAGCCCCCAGGGGATAGTATAACTTCACAGATGTAACTCTTAAAGCTTGAACAAAGTAGTGACCCACACAGAGCAAAGTGGAAATACTTACACTGGCTACTGGAATAGCCTAGAGAAAAATAATCAAAAGGTTGAGCAAAGTGGAGATGATGAAATGGGCATATTACATGAGATCAGGAAAACCATCACAAGATTATACTCCTTTGGAAAGTCCCCAACACCACACTTACACCAGGACACCAAGAATGCATTGTTGAGAGGGCCATCCGAATCACTGTAGCTCAGTGTTGCCTGCCTTGGTTGTCTTCTGTAGCCTGGGATGGGGGAAGAAGAAACCATCACAAACCTTGGCTCAGTAATAGCAATGGGGATAACAGGGCCCCAAAGCAATAGAGGTCAGGAAACAGTTTTTAACACCAGAAGCCAGGAACTCATTATTTTCATAAGAACAGATGAGATCAGCGCGGCAGCAAAGCAGCGCTGACCCACAGAGAACAAGGGAGATGGTTAATACAGCATGGTGTTCCTTTGGGGGGAAAAATCGACTGACAACACAATCAGTAGAAAATAAAAAATTGAAGAGCAGGAGGCTGAAGATTCTTGTCCAAATAAAGCCACATTCCCTTGCCCAGTTTCTAGTCCTGGATTAGTTTTCAGGCTGGAACCCACTAACTAAAGAGGGATGCTCAGGGGAGGAAGCCTGCCACACACCGTAAAGATTCTTCCTGTCCTCCAACATAGCCACAGCTATTCAAGTGACTAGCTCCTGGAGGAAGGGTAATACCCAAATGTTGAGAGTTTAGTTAGACCAAGGGTCTATGTTAATGCTAACACCTAGTGATCTAAAGTATCTTTGCTTAACATGAGGTACAGACAATAAGAGGATTCTGGCCAATTTCTGGGTCCAGTGGGTCTTCAGACATGTCTGGTAATCACTCCTCAATTCCTAAATGATTAATTTGGACTGATTGATATGCTTGACTTTTGGAGAAGCTCTTACATTACATCCCGGTGTCATGAGATAATAGCCATTGTATTAGGTCCTGGGAAGCTCATGAAGCTTCTGAAACTACCTCCTCCATGCCCTGACAAGGATCATTCATCAAAAATGGTATCATATCCATGGGGACAGATGTTGGACACAGCTTAGAAATATGAAGGATTCAGTAAGGGTGGGTCTTAACATACCTCAATTTAATTCCTTTTACTCCATGCAGAAAATAACATGGATCCTGGAAAATAACCACAGATAACCACAAGGCAACAGAGTTGTAGCACTGGTCAAAACTACTGCCCATGATGAGGTTTCATTGCTACAGAAAATTAACAGTATTTCAGGTACGTAACATGGACTCATTGATTTGATGAATGTATTTTTCTTTCCTGTCTTACATGGCAAAAAGGACCAGAAACAGTTCCCTTTCACAGGGAACAAATAACCCTATTTTATCTGCCACTGTGCCTGAAAACAGAACTTTCTCAGTTTCTGTTATGTTGTCATCAGAAGAGCTCTGGACAATGTGGATGTTCTGTAGAGTACCACATTGCCCAGCTATGTGATGGGGTGCCAAAGGTAGGAAATAAATTCTTTGAAAATGTATGGAATAGCCATTAACCAAAGTTCTTAGGTGTTCAGGGCATAAGGTTTGGCTGGGCCATCTCCTTCACAGGAAATGGTTATATCTTGCATCCACCTTCTACCATAGAGAAGGAAACACAATGCCTAGCCTGCAAGTTGGAAGTCTGCCGTCAACACATTCAACACCTACGTGTATTTCTCGGGCCCTGAGAATGAGTTAAATGAAATGCTGCCTTGCTAGGTACAAGCTTCAGTAGGATGGGCTCTGTGGCAAATCTGAGTTGCAGGTGCCTGGGCATCCTGTGATCCAGCAGGCCTGGCTACTCCCTGTGGTTGGAGCTAAGAGCACACGAGATAAAGAAGGGAGACAGACAGGACCTAGAGGCTGGTGAAAGGCCCAAGTCAGAGGGTGGCGGCCTTTGGTGCTCCTTTCAAGGCTACTTTCATCCTCTAGTAGGCCATAGAGAGCCATCAATTTTTGTTTCTGTTTTAAAGAATAACTTGGCAATTGAAGCTCTTATATAAACTTTGCTAAGGAACTGTGTGCAGGATGGACTGAAGGATCAAGTGGGAAATTTAGCTTTTGATATTTTCTCATTTCTCTCACTTCTCACCTTAAAAATCCTTACCCAAAACATTCACCTAATAAAGGAGGGCTTGGGGAAAAAGAGGAATTAAAGCTCGGTGTGACCCAGACTCACTTTGTTTTTCTCTCTGTTTGATTCAAAGCTGATTTCACACCCCCTATCCCTACCTCCTGCATGTTAGTTGTCTAGAAAGCAGCTATTCCACCTCCTCCAGAAAACCGGGAAAGTCATTTCTATCAATGTCTTCATTACCACAAAGATCCACTACAACTGAATTATGTCTTGGGGGAATTCACAACGTGCTTTTGCCTGTATACTGTAAGTATTGCTTTGCCTGTAAAGGACTCTTCAGGTCCTTGGAGAATAATGTTATTTATTCTTTGCAGGTCTTTCAGAGCCTTTTACAAGTATTTGAATTCCAACAGACTGCAAATGTTTTCTAACAGGAAGAATACTGGAACTGTTTTCAGATAGATCTTAAAAATTGAGGTAGACAATGATAAAAATACAAGTAGACTTTTACTTGCAATGGTCAAGACAAAGCAAAAATGTCTTTTAATATAAGATTTTTCTTTTAGGATAAAGATAACTACTTCTTTAGTTAAATTGTAATCATAAATATTGGTGGAATTAATGTATTAGTTATATAACTCAGAGGACAGTAACACAGTTTGCCAAAAAGCCTTAAAAGAGACAAAACAAAGAGAGAAAATTACATTTTGCTCTGTCAGATGTAAACACAGACATACAGGCAGCCTTATATGTTGATGCTACTTGTATTTTTCTTAAATGTACATAATTAAAGTCAAGTGTTTCAACATGTTCTTGGAGCAAGACCAGTTTAGATCTTGCATGAGAGCTCCCTCCACTGGAGTCTGCTTTAACACTCTGCCTCCTGTTTACTTTCTTTCTTCAGAAGTTCCCTTCTTGGATCCCTCCTAGTGCTGGGAGATTAATCCAACAGAACACTGAATTATGTCCTTCAGGAAAGCTGCAACCAAGCCCGTTTATCAATCCAAGGAGTCTGCACTAGAGACAGAGAGAGAGAGAGAGAGAGAGAGAGAGAGAGAGAGAGAGAGAGTGAGAGAGAAACTCGTATAGTTCTTCTTGTCTTTCTTGAGTCATATAGGCAGCATAGAACATACTTCTGGAAGCTTAGAGCATAAATTGACTATAACCATAGGCCTCCAAAGTCTTGTTTAACAAAAGTACATTTTGATAAATTACTTTCAAGGGAAAGTTGGAAATTTATACCTCAAAAACTCCATCCCAGGGTCACTCTGCTTTCTTCAAGTCTATGTATTTGGGCTGTATTCCTAAGAAATGAAAATTTAGGATATTTAATATTGTTTTAGGGCATTTAGGTTAATCAAATATTCTGGCGAGTTCAGGGTGACCCATTTGCTCACACTCAGATTGCATATTTTCCATAAATTGGACTAAAATAGGACCAGATAATTAACACAAGTGGTGTAGGTCATTTTCAACCATTCTTGTGAGGTTTAAAGTTCATCATGATGAATATTCATTGTTAGCTGCATAACATTTATTAAGCTATGTAAGTATTTTGAAAATATTTCTTCATCTAAAAATGGATCTATTAACACTTTATCTCAAAGTGTTGTTTCAAAGATTAAGTGAAAAGGGAATGTGAAAGTGCTTTTCCAGATATGAAAACTATTGTGAAAGCTACTGTATGTCCGTGGAACAGTAAGAGAGATGCTTTCAGAGTGACTGCCTGAGATTCACAATCAAATCTGTGAGGACCACTTGTAGAAGAACACCTCAAGGAAGGCACAAACGCTACTTTGTAGAGACAGGTGAATAACCAAATAACCTTTGGCCCAGTCGGGTAGACACAGTCGATGAGGAAAAGAACCCTGATGTTATTTTCCAAATTCTTTCTAAAGAAAGAAAAGAGTGAGGTTTCATCTTGGAAGATTTATCGTGAAGTTCTTTTTATGAGTGAGCAAATCTAACACCCTAGGTTGACAAGGTCGGTGAAGTCTAAGAATTTTTTGCATTATTTTTACCACAAAGCCAACAGAAACCATCTGATACATGTAACCTTGGCAAAATAAGCTTGTGTCGTCACAGTGTTGTGAGAATGTACACGTTTCTCTGCACTCAGTTTTAATCATTTTGACTCCCTGCTATGTTTCTCCTTTCCCTGTGGAATGAATCCAATCACATCAGTAGTAGCTCAATAAATCTCGAATAAAGGTACTCGTCCTGCTTATATATGGTAGAAACACCCTGGTAAAATGTTGAACTTAAATATTGTAAATTTCAAACATTGAAGAGACTCAGGGGCACCTTGCATATGTGGGCCACCAAAGGATACTTCAGATCTTCTTCCATGGAGGGGTTGCACCTTATCATCTGGAAATCATTATATAATAGGTTCAGTAAATGCTTGCTGATGATTGTCACATTTAATTATTTCATGATTTATTTTACTACCTATGACCAATGAAAATGCGAAGCAACAATCCTTAGAAGTTCAGTTTTCATTGCACTGCAGTACTTTAATGTGAGTTGGATCTCATTACCTCCATTTATCCTTCTTCTTTTGTTTTACCTAGTAGAATTATGTGCTTCTTTTTCAGTATTCAAATAATTCTTTGTCTATCCCTCAACACATTCCATTTCCTTGCCTCCCTTTCAAGGAGACTGTGTACTCCTTGAAGGTGTTTTTTTATGCTTTTAGTATGTAGCACAGTGCCCAATGTCACATATAGTCTCAATATACTGTTGTTGACAAAAGACAGTGACAAAAGAAAATATTTTCATTTTCTCTCTCCCGTGTTAAGATCCTTGAGATGTAACAAGATTGTATCCTCAGGAAACAATATTCATAAGTATAGGCACAGCTTCTTGATTCAACAATTTGCTCATAAAGCCTACTAAAATTTCTGAAATTCCCAGGGGATGAAAGGAAATGATAATTTTTGTTGTTGTTGTTGTTATTTGGGCATGGGGCATTTGAAGTGAACAGCTGGGACTACATCCTCCTTGCACTTTGTTCATACATAAGGAGAAATGAAAATTCTGAAAAGACATCTGTATTGTAAATCAAAATACGTTGCTGAAATCAATGTTGAGTTGACATTCTGCTTGCAAATATTCTTTTGAGATGGTTTCTTGTAAATCTCTTTCCCATCTGGTTTTTATGTCTGTTCTGGGACTTGTATGCATCAAGTTGTCTAGGATCTGCTCAGAATGTTGAAATAAAGTGTGTGGCTTTTAATAAAAGGGTAGATGGGAGGGGAAGATACTGTCTTAGTCACATCTAAAGTGCTTATATATCTTGTAGTTCAGAGAAACTTCTAGAAACTTTGGCATGTGGTTTCTTAGAATAAGAAAAGTTACTTGAAGTCATGAAATAATCCCATCATGCAATTTATATTTTTGTAAAGAACATTTGCTGGGGGATAATTTTTATTTTTAAACACAGGAAGAGTGAGCAGGAGAAAAAGAGTTTGTGATTGCAATTTCCTCTCTTTGCCATAATTGCACTATTTCCATTAAATTAATGATGGAGAGGAACAATTGTTTACGTAAAAGTTCCTTTCCTTATTGAAATCTAGTTAATTTGGGAATATGAATCTCTTTTTAAATGACAAATTCAACGATGACAAAGAAAACAATTAAATCTGGATGTGTGACGATAACTAAGCCACAATTATGACTTAACATCTGGAATTGCTATCTCCCCTTGATCTTTACAAAGGAGCAGCATTCTGGATGGACCTCTCCAAAGTGAGAATCCAATCATCATCTGCCATGACTATGATGTATCATTTACCCAAAGCTCCTCTTTAATTGCAGGCCAATGGCTCATCTGTACACAGCAACTAATTTTGCATCCATGCAAGGGAAAGGGACATTATTTTACACCTTGAAAAGACAAAGCTGTCTCTTGCTTTCCATATACTATGCACTGTGTGTGTGTGTGTCTGTGTACAGCTCACAAGCAGATAGGAAGAAGAGAAAATACTCAAGTAGCTTGACATAACCCTGAGTATTCTCCCCACTGATGAAATGCATAAATATGGAAATAGGACTCAGTAGGTGGGAGCTTTCTCTCCAAGAGTGAAGATCAGTCTGTTAACTTTGCTCATTAGTTTTTTTTTGCTTCTGACTCAAGCAATAGAGTAAGATATAAGAAAGAAATAAAGGGAATTAAAAACCTCTGCCTTATGATTCATTAGTGATCACTGTTGTGTCCCCTGGAGACCTGAGAGAAATTAAACCACTTCAGTGTTTTCTTCTTTCCAGCAGAGCTCCCTCATCTTTGTGTTTAATGTTCAACCTTCCTTACTCAAGAACTCACTTCACTGGAGTGAATGACTTGATTATTGTATATTAAAGTTTTAAAGCAGAACAGGACAAACCATCCCGGAAAATGGAATATTTTAAAAATCTCCATTGACTCCTCATTTATCACTAGAGATTTCCTAATTCTTTATTTTTATTAGTCCAGGTTTTCAGTATATAATGACTACATGCACTGTGAGGAAAGTATAACACTTCTGAATTCTTTTTATGCTTCTTTTCTTTCCCTCTGCCTCTCTCCATCCATTGCTAAGGATTTCCTTTACTTTTTATTACTTTCATTGATATATTTTAGATATACACAATGATGACATTCATATAGGGAATTTGAGCCTGTTTGTAATATGTCTTGATTCTTTTTCTCTCCATTTCCCTCTCCTCTCTTCAATCCCCTCCTTATTTACAAAAGCTTTACTTCCATTTTTTTCTTTCTATTTTTTTCTCATCCCTTCCTTCTTTTCTCCATTTTCCCTCCCTTGTTCCACTTCCCATGTGAACATTTTCTTCACATTTCTCAATATTTATTATACACATTGGTCCTTATTTACATATCTGGCTTCTCATGCCAGAGAAACAACACAATATTTAAACACGTGTATCCAATTTATTTCACTTAAGGTCTCAAAGTGCTTGTATTTACCTAGATATGCCTCAAGTTTATTTTTTTATGTCAGAATAGTACTCCATTGTGTAAAAATACCACAACTTCTTTATGTATTCATCCACTGATGGGCATTTGGGTTGTTGTCAAAATTTAGCTACTATAAATTGTGTTACTATAAACAGCATATATTGTGTGGTATATATATGCGGTATATGTGTGTATATATTGCTGTGGTATGATGCTTTTAATTCTTTGGGGAAGAAGCCAAGAGGCTTCTAATAGCTGGGTCAAATGGAACTTCTAGTTTTAGTTTTTTGAGGAATAGCCACACTGATTTCCACAGTGGTTACACCAGTCAAAGCTCAGAAGGGTTCATTTTTCCCCCACAGCCCTTCCAACATTTGTCATTGCTTGATTTCTTGCTGACAGCATTCTTTCATTTTTTCTGGGGTGAGATGGAATCTCAGTGTCATTTTAATTTGCATCTCTTGAATGACCAGTGATGTGGAACATTTCTTCAAATATTTATTTGCTGTTTATTCTTCCTTGTCTGAGAAGTATATATTCATTTCACATGTCCATTTTTGGATTGGATCTTTAAATATGGGGAGGTCTGATTTTCTTGAGAGAGAATTACAGGCCCTTCTCCCTAATGAATATAAATTCAGAAATCCTCAGTAAGATATTGGCAAACACAATGCAACAGATTATTAAGAAGATTGTGCATCATGATCAAGGAGGATTTATTCCAGGGATGCAGGGATGGGTCAATATATGAAAATCAGTAAATGTAATAAACCATATCAAAAGAACCAAGGACAAAAACCACATGATAATCTCAGTAAATGCAGAAAAAAGCATTTAACAAAGTCCAACATCCACTCACGATAAAACCCTACAAAAATTGGAGTAGGTAGTCTTTATCTCAATCTAATAAAAGCCATCTATGACAAACCAACAGCCAACATCATAACTGACCAGTCAAAAACTGAAAACTTTCTCTGTAAAACCAGGAACAAGACAAGGATTCTGATACTACCATTCCTATTTAATATAGTCCTGGAAATGTTTTGTTTGTTTGTTTGTTTGTTTGTTTGTTTGAAACAGGGTCTCACTATGTAGTTGAGACTGACCTAGAACTCACTATGTAGTCCAGGCTGGTCTTGAACTCACAGTGATCCTCCTGCCTCAGTCTCCCGAGTGCTGGTATTACAGGCATGCACCACCATGCCTGGCTTAGTTCTGGAAATGTTAACTAGGGATTTCACTATTATTTTTAAGGCAGAATGTCTTTCAGGAAAATCCTCTAAATTTAGAGTTCTCTTTTCTTTTGTTAGTGTACATAGTCATTTTTGAAGTCCACAAGAAAGATTTTTTTTCCAAGGGAAGTTTTGGCTACATATATTTTTTACTTTACTGGTTAACAAGTAAATTTTACTCGCTTGTGCCACCCAAGCTAGCACCATGTATGTCCTAGAAGCAATTAACAAGAAACCTTGCCCTTGCTGATCTTCAGGAAAGATTTCTGGCTCTATTCTTATGAGACTATACATATAGCCCACCCATTTGCGTTCCTACTACATGTGCATACCTCATCTTAGCTTCTCCCAAGCCCATGAGCAAGCTCAGAGTTCAGGGAGCACATCATTCTGAAGCCTAAGGACAAGCATCTCACCATGCACATGATAATCCTTATAATTAGGTTACAAAAGTGTCAATTAAATTTATCTGTTAGATAACAAATGCTTACAATTAGGATTCTCCAATCTTACATGGGATTAAAGCTAATGGTCAAGCAAGGATTTTCTTTTTCCTAATTATAGACGACTTTATCCAGATATCTTAAGTAATATTTTCCCTTGTGGTTATGCTGTATTCTAATTCTCCATGTTAGTCTTTCAGTCTCTTTTTAACTCTGGAGGCTTATCCATCTGGCCTTTCTCAGGTACCTCTATTCATCATGTCAGAACTTTCTGTAAATTTGTATAGTGTATTACTATAGAATCATGGCTCATTGCCCAACACTGTAATTAAGTATAGTGACACCTGCATGAAGTAAAATAGTTGTTTATTGTTAGTCATATCACTAATATCTGATATAATGAGTGCTCATGAATGTTTGCTGTAATGGGTAAATGTTTGAAAGAGTTGTCACTGCATGTATGTCTTTACACATGCATGTGTACACATGCAGAGCATGTTGTAGCGTGTCTGTAGGTTTATTAGTGATGTTCTAGGATGTTGTGCCTTTTGAGTTCAGTTGGTTCTCTTGTTTGGAATGGAGTTTGCACAAACAAGTCATTTTAATGCCAGCCACTTTCTCTATTACACGGAGACATGGCCCCATTAAGATGGCTATAAAGACAATAAAAGCTAACTTAGTATAGATCATGTCACTTTTGAAGTGGTCCCAATTCAAGATAATTGAAGCCTCCTTGGTCCATTGAGAACTATCATGTGCTATAAATGGTGTTAGCGGTTAACTATTCAGAAACTGATGTATTTGAATACGTTTTGGTTGTTCTGGGTAATGGTTAACTTCAAAGAGCAAGATGAGCACCTGGGAGATGACTCAGCTATGACACTGTTTATTTTTAGACAAACAGAATAGTGGTTTATTCCTTTTATAAAGGAACAAAGGGGGAATTTGTGAGTAATTCATCAGACAAAGACACAAGTGGCAAGGAAAACAATACAACTGTAGGACAATATTTTGTTCATGCTAGTCTGAGTAGAGGTGGCTGGCTTTTATCATGATTTTTTTCAGCGAAGAAGCAGAGGATGTTTCCTCCCCTTCCTCCAGACAATCTCACTAATAACTTCTAGAGGGGCTCATTTGTCTCTTGTCACAGAGCACGGTTTCTGTGAGAGAATGTAAGTAGGGAGAAGTAAGAGGGCAGAAAAGAATCCCTCAATATTCTGCTTTCTAGAAGGCCTACTGAGTTGTTTAAAGCTTTCTTTTTCTGTATGAGAGCTTTTACTCAAATACACATTAAAAGCTGAAATGAAGACACATACTCAACACATTAAAAATAAATGCTAAGCTGGCTGGGATGGCACCTACCTATCATCCCAGTGCTCTGGGAAGCAGAGGTAGGAGGGTTAAAATTTTGAGCTCAATCTGATCTGGTCAACTTAGTGACTTAGCAATGTTCCGTTTCAAAATAAAAAATAAAAAAGGGCTGGGGATGTAGCTCACTGCAAAATCCCTGAGCTCTAAATACTCAGTATTTCAGGTACTCAGCCCAGCTGCTTTTGCAGCAAAAATAACTGTAGGATGATTTGGATTCAGGCTGCACTGAGTGCACATGTGTGCCAGGAGTGAGGTTGTGTGTGCCTGTGATTACTGTTCTATGGATTTTGAAATACTTATATGAGGAAAATATTATTAGGGACCCACCTCATATATAAAACAAATACATTTTTTAATATATTACTAAGATTATTTCAGGCTTTAAAATCAAAATTTTGGTTGCAATAAGAGACATTAACTATCCTTGAAGTATGAAATAGGGAAGTGAAATAATGAGGTATTTATTATTTTATATTATATTCTTTCTTCTCAGAAGGAAGTAGATTGGAGGAGTATAATGTGCATTTGTTAGGAATTTATTTAGAGAGGGCAGTGGCTTGATCTTTTATGACAAGAGTGGAGATATTGAGAAGTGGACAGGTTTAAGATGTAGATGTAAGAAAGAAATTACAGGACTCAGTTGTAAGTGGAATACAGGGCTCAGAAACAGGAAGATGTCAAGCTCTTGGGCTTTTGGGATGTGAAACTGGATAATTAATGTTGAATAATGATGGAGAAGCATGTTGAAACAGGAATGGCTCTCTAGGTAGAAAATGAATTCAGGTTTGGGCACATTCAAGTTGAGGTGAGAGGTGGATTCTAAGTATTTAGAACACAGAAGAACATTTTGGAAGAAATCCCAGAGTCCATTAATTATTATTTGAAGTTGTAAGAATGGTAGAGCTAATTTTTAGTATTTGTGCTGCTGAAGTGAGCACAAGTGGAGCTAATTTTAACAAGGCAAAGGGAGCCCATTTAAGAAATGGTCATGAGAATAAAGACCCAAGAAGGCCTAAGACCAAACCTTGAACAGTGTAATGCAGCGGACCCTCAAGTTATGACTTGCCTCAGATATAAACAACCAGGGTTACAACTGGAAATTTAGTTTTAATTCATGACCAAAGTCTTGAGTTATTACCCAAATGCTGGGCACTTGTCAGTTGTAAACAAAAACTTCCAATGCCAGAAAAGCATATGTAAGGGCACACAAGTGTCAATCTGAGCCCAGATGTGCATGTTTGTGGCTATGATTTCCATCAGTGATTTATATAATCATTATGATTACGGCTATCAAAATGACACAAAAAAGCTAGAAAAGAAGGGAAAGTAAAGACAGCAATCACAATTGAAAAGAAGAAAATTGTGGAGAGATACGAGAATGGCATTCATGTGAGTGATCTTGCTAACATTTATACCATATCAAAATCCACCATCTTAACCATCTTACAGAGAAAAGATTTGTATAAGGAAGCTAGTTTTGTTAAAGGTGTTATTCAAATTAGCAAGTCACGATCAACAGTGTTAGGTGAAGTAGAAAGGCTATTAATAGTGTGGATAAATGAAAGGCGGATGACAGGTTACAGCCTGAGTCTATAATTTGTGAAGAAGCTAAGGGTATAAATGCAGATCTCATAAAGGATAATCCATCAAGGAGTGATAATGATGGAATGTTTCATGCCAGTAAGGGCTGGTTTCACAATTTTAGAGTGAGAACTGCGGTTTATAGACAACTAGATATGGTGAAGCAGCCAATGCTGATAAAGGGGCTGCTAAAAATTACATACACTTCAAAACAAATACACAGAAAAATGGCTTTTGCTTTCATCAAGTTTTCAGCTGTGATGAAACTGGCCTTTTCTCAAGAAAATGCCCAGGAAAACACATTACCCAGGAAGAGAGGAAAATGCCAGGCCAGAAGTCTCTGAAGGATAGGGCAACCTTATCGCTATGTGTCAATGCAAGTAGTGACCTCAAGATAAAGCTTCTCTTGCTTTATCACTCCGAGATCCATGGAGTGTTCAGAAAATATAATGTCATGGAATAGACTCGGGGTCATGTGGAGATCTAAAGCAAAAGTCTTGCATTAGGCAAGAGAAAAAGACAATCATTGCATTCACTTGCTTAATGACAATTACATGTCATACTACAGAACAGTGTCAAAGAAAAGACAGAAACAAGCAATCTGAGACCAGCTGTTAGTTCTGAAAAGATTGAGACCAGATGAGCAAGAAGCAGGTCATAGTGGGCTACAGATTCTCCCAAGGAGAGAAAGGACACCAGAGAGCCAGATTCCTGATGTTCCTATGGAAGAGGACTCTCCTTCCAATTCATCCTCCTTCCTGCAAGCCAAAGATGTCAACTTTAATGGTGAGTACAGTATGAAATTGTTGTTTCTGGTAAATTAGGCACATTTTATAAATTTTTGATGAATATCCTAGGAAAGTTATTGGTGTTTCTGATAAATTATGCACATTATACAACACTTTTTTATTATGAAAAGGTTAGTTAAAGGATGCTTTGGGGGGTTGAAATGAATTATGAGTATTTCCATTATTCCTTAGGGGAAAAATCATCTTGATTTACAACCAACTTGAGTTGCAACCAGCCCTTGTGAACAAAATGAGTTTGTAAGTCAAGGATCAACTGGATTTGAAAGATAGATTGAGCATGTAAAGTTTCCAAAGGAAATTGAAATGGAGTTATTGAGAGTATAGGAAAAAAGTTAGGTGGACATGGAAACAGCTCACTTGCCCAACAGTTGGAAACTGGATAAAGAAGATGTGGTTTTTCTATAAAATGGAATATTACTCAGCTATAAAGAATGAGAAATTAGATTCATTCATAGGAAAATGGGTACATATTGAAGATATGTTCCTAAGTGAAAGAAATAAGTCACACATGTGTAAATACCAAATAGTTTCTCTGGTGTGAATAAACTATAATAGTGCATAATATCCTAATGATATAATTGACAATGTGAAATAGGAAGAAAGGGGCTAAAGGTGTAGGGAAAGTGGGAAGGGTAGGGAAAAGCTAATAAGGGAAAAGAAAAAAATATGAGAAAATGAAAAGAAATGAAGTGTTTGTAAAGGGGGAGGGGAGGAGGGGGTGAAAGGAGTGCAGGGACAAGGGGAAAAAATGAGAACCAAGACCTGTCATGTAAAGGTACAAGACCCCAATGATGAATGTAACTGTACTGTATCCCTAAAATGTACCAATAAACTCAATGAGGAAAAAAAAAAAGTTAGGTGGGCATATAGCTGTGGTGTCCATGGAGAGCATTTCTAGAAGGAAGAAGTTGATAATGACCTAAAATGAGGACTGGAAAATTGCATCAGCAACATGTAGGGGACAGAGTCCTTTGTGACCTAAAGAAGAGCAGATCTAGTTGTGTGGTAGAAAAAGAATCCAGAACAAAATCTTCTGAGAGTGAGTATGGTGTAGGAATGAAGGCTTCTTGCAAATTCACTCTTGGAATAAAAAATGTTATAAGCACACACACACACAGACACACACACACACACACACACACACACACACACACACCCCTTTCATGAGAAATCAGTAGCTGGTAAAAGTTATTTTGCCACACTAGGCACCAAATGTGCTGGGACAGTGCTATTTCTGGTTTTACACCACTTCAACTCCTACAACATAGTAGACTGGAAACTCCACAAAGAGTAGGACCCTCTTACATTTTGTTCTTTGTAGTATTTCTCAGTGCCTTTACTGTACTTGGTGCATAGTAAACCCTCCAAAAGCATTTGTTGATCCAGTGATTGAATTAGGTTTGGTTGCTCCAGCTTTGTAGATGAGGGACCTGAGAATTATGGAGCTTAACTCATTTGCCCAATCACAAAGGTGACAAGTAATGACACGAGGATTTGTACACAATCCAAAAGAGCTTTGCCTATCATTCTCAGTGTGTGCATGTGTGTACGTGAGTATGCATGTGTTTTGTTTTAGCTTCTACCCAACTACTAAATCCCTGCTAATCTCTCATGGAATTGTGAGGGCCTGGTATCTCCAGAGAGCTAGGGGCCCTGCTATATTCAGTGATACATCTGATAAGCATTCTGCACTTAAAATCTGTACTGTGACAAGTACAATAAAAGCAGTTCTTGGTAAATGCAAATGATCACTTTAGCATAGAAGATAAATAGTTCTAAATTCAAGGAAGAAATCAGTGCAAGATGAGACATTCTGACAGCTGAAGAAAAGTATTTATTTTGAAGATTCTGGGCTTGTTCTCATGAGGAAGGCTTGGAATTATAAACAATACTTACTGTATCTTATGGGCCCTTTTGATTGGCTTGAGGACCTTTGAGGTAGGAGATTTGCAAAGCACCCTGTGGACATGTCAGGTGAGCCACTGGCCCCTTTCTGGTGTTCTTCCCCTGTGCTCTGCTTCTGGTCTGGCTGCCATAGAGCAAGCAGCTTCGCCTTTATGTTTCTGCCTTTGAGCCAACCAGTCATGAACTAAAACCCCTGAAACGGTGAACTAAAAGTAAACCTCTGCTCTAGGTTTTGAGAGTTAGGCGTTTTGTTCCATCAATGGGAAAGCTGACTAATACATTGTATGTTATATCATCATACTTAGTCTAATTCTACAGTGAACTATACTAGTTCACATGCTCACATGTGAGGTCAATTCTCAAACAATCCTTATTCATCTTGATAAAGGTGCACTAGAAAGCCCCTTCAAGTGTCTCTCTACAGAGATCTTCAGCAGGCTTGATTTGAACTGATTGTGAGGTCAAAAGCTTATGATTGTCCAGTGGGTCATATTAATAATGCCTTGCAAAGTTCTACATGACAAAGTCTTGGTGGGATGTACTTGGATATTCTACGGGCTACATCGGCCTTTCTTGATTCTCTGTCTCTGAGGCACTGAAAACAGGCCCTTGCTTGTCGGCTTAATTCCATGTTCCTAGAACCTTGTATGATAGTGTCCAGACCTCCCACTCCTGAAAGTTATTATTGCACTGTTCATCTAATAAAGTTTTATAATGAGAGTCTTTGATCCTTTAGAAGAGAGCAAGGTCTGCTTGCTTCCAAAGAGTATACTGATTGTCTGTAGTTACCAGGTCAGAATTTATAAATTTTATGATTTGTGTGTTCCTGTTGAATCCTCAATTACTTATCTGAGAAAAGATTAAAGTTGCACTCTGATTCACAGATTTCATGCTGTTGAATACCTAGAGCTGTACTGAGTACTATTATATTCCTCCTTCTCACTCTTCTCTCAGAGAGGCCAATGGCAGTTTTTATCCCCTTGCAATAGAAATACTCTCATAAAGTCCTAACAGAAGGGTCACAGGAGTTCAGAATTCAGTGTGAAATCTGCCATGTGTTTTCAGTCAAGGAAATTAACCTCTTGGGGTCTAGACTTTCATATTTTATTTTATTTTTTGGTACTGGGGATTGAACTCAGGCTGTTGTGCTTGCAGGGCAGGCCGCTGAACCACTGAGCTAAATCCCTGGCCCTTAGACTTTCACGTTTTAAAATGAATAGTTTGTGGCAAGTAACATTCATCTCGTTCTTCAAACATTTATTGTTTTCTTTCTATAGTTCTAGACACTACTTTCTGTCTGGGATACAACATTGAATAAGATCGACAATATCCCTATTTTCACAGCCCATAGTGTATAGTAGATGAGAAAGATCAATAACCAGACAATTGTAAAACAGTGAAGTAAATGATACCAGTGCAAGTCTGAATTCCAAAATCAAATGTTGACTTTATCAGCTTTTCCGGTGTTGCCAATTATTTGAATTTCTTTGAATATGCTGTGTATTCACCATTGCCCCCACACCTGTAAATATGTTTCTGCTGCTCACAAGAACATTTACCTGTGCATTACTGGCCATTGTCTGCACAGCCTTCAAGGTCCAGGTTGAATATTAGGCCCTACCATGCCCTTGCTTCACGGAAATATCGATGCATAGAGGCACACAAGTCTCAGGGAAACCTTCCCTGAAGTTGAGTCTGGCTTTCACAGCCTGGCTTCAGTTCCCCTGGTAAGTTCTTTTTCTCACCAATATCACTGTTAGGATTTAAACTCATTGAGTGTAGCAATCTCTCTATTATCTTTCTATTCTCAGAATACAGTCAGGTGTTAGGTATTTGTTCTATAATTCATTTGTCCTGTCAATACTAAACCTAAGTGCTGGTACTGCAGAAGGGTGTGTTTTCCTCATCTTACTGAATCCTTATAATAATTCTGGATTGTGTTTGCACTGCGATTATTGGCCTTTGCAAATGGAGGAACTGAGGTTTACAAGGGCTCAATGATATTTCTCAAGGAAACACAGAGGGAGAAGTAAAAGCATAACTTGGCTCTAGCTTTCTGGAGGTGTTTCTCATTTATTCTGTCATGGTGTGAAAATCACGAGCTTTATAGATTAACATTTATGGGGTGAGGTAGGGAGAGGAGAGTGGTTGTAAAGCAAATACCTGCTCTAAAAGAAAATTTAAGGCTAATGGTTTTTAGGCCATATTTTCATAAGCTAGGTAGATGTACCCTTGGGTAATTTGGCTTAATCCGGGGAGAAACCGCACACTTCTTCAAGTGAACAGATGTCTATACATAGATATCTCTGTGAAGCAAGGTCATGGTAGGGCCTAATCTGCATTCTTCTCTATACCGACGACATAGAGATAACTGTACCTATCTTGCCAATAAAATGCTTATGTGAAATTCCCTGGTATGCTAGGAAAAAACAAAGAAGGGGAGATCTAATACCCAAGGACTTGGGAATATTGTGGTAATAATTCTAAGACAGAAACAGTATCATAGAGTTTTCAAGGAAGGATCTGCTAGTATGATAGACCCAAACACAAAGATTGGGGAAGTAGGCAATTCTGACCTCTGTAAGAGGCGTGGAGATGACTGGAAACTGCTTTTTGCTATCCAGAGAAAAGTTGTGACTTCATTTAAAGGTAGAAGCTCCAAGTTTCCATTTGACTCCACTCTATAGAAGTCAGCTAAATATTGAAACGATATTTTTCTTGCTTTCAAAAGTTTCCAGACTTATCAGGTATCCAGATAAAATCTTGCTTCTTTTTAGCCAGAGAATAAAGGGGTGTTTCTGTTTTAGTGATTGTGTTTGTGCTATTCAAAAACCTCACACTCTACAAAATTGAACACTGAAAATAACAAGGCTGATCGTGAAAATATAACATGCAGGGCAATGCTCAGAACTGGAATTTGGAAAGTGGAGCATGAAGAAAAGCATGACACTAAAGAAGAGGAAGAAGCTACTATAAAAAATACTAGCAGTGATAATTTACTAAATACCATTGGCACCTGGCTCAAAATGAGGTGATCATTAGCAGCTCTAAGTCCTGGAGTTTCTTCTTGTTTCTCGGAGTTGAGGCCATCCAATATGACATTTATTATAAAACTAAAAATCGGACCCAATGTATAGCTTCATTCACAAGTCCAATGTCTGAATACGGTGATTAATATTTACAGTTTCTTAACCTGTGTCACAGGCTTCACCCACATGTTTAGTGTGGCTGAATATGAAGAAATATTCTTGAAATGTTAAAGGAAATTGCTTTTGTAGATTTTTAGACAGTTTAATAGAGATCTTCATGTTTTTCTTTAACTGTGACAAAACTTGCTTTGGATAACTTAAAAACATTAAGATAGCAGAAAACAATACATAAGAAACAATGTTATTTCTATGTTATAGAACATCTGTCCCTATTCATCAATCAAATGTGGAATAATTTACATCAAGGAATTAGCTGTTTTATGAGAGATTCTCCTCATTTGTGTGGCATGTAAGGTTCTGACATCATGTAGAGAATGCTTGGTTATTCTATATAAAACTGTCTCACTATTTTCAGAATCTATTTTCATCTTAATCTGTAGCAGCATTTTACAACATGGAGAACTAGATTTTGCTTATAGACTAGCAGTGTAGTCGCCCTTCTCATGGAGGTGAGCTTTAAGGAAAGATGAGGTCATACTCTGGTAAAGAAAATAAGAACAAAAGCACCTCTGTAAACCTAATGAATAGTTTTAACTGTGGTGCTTGGTTTACTTCAATCAATCATCAAACCCAATGTTTCTTCTCAAATTAAATGATTCTTTTTTTCCACTCTTTCTCTCTTGCTTTGCTTGCTTTCTCTCTTTCATTTTCATTCTTTCATTAATATTTTCTTTAACCTTTTTGATTTTTTTTCCCTTATCCACTATGTTTTATTTGTTTGTTTGTTTTTGTTTTTTGAGACAGGGTCTCACTATGTAGTTGAGACTGACCTGGAACTCATTATGTAGCCCAGGCTGGTCTCGAACTCACAGGGATCCTCCTGCCTCAGCCTCCCGAGTGCTGGGATTACAGTTCACTACATTTTAAATGCTTACTAGGTACCAGGGACACTGCTGGGTCCTGAAGATGAAATAATGAGGAAAAGCCGGGGATTTGGAGGAGATGGACGTTGGACTGTTACACATATAAACGTAAACCAATGGGTGATGAGGACCACCATGGAGAAAGCTATGTCAGAGGGAAAAGTGTCACATGCAGCTGTGTCACCCAGTCCCTCCAGGAAATGAACTTGGAGGATGGGTGGGATTGAAAGGGTGAGGAGGGGATAAGAAAGCCTTGCTGACGGGGAGTTGCTTCTAAGAACCAGCAGCCTGCAGGACCATCCTGTTTGTCAGGGGTGGCAGAGGGATCGGTGTGGTTAGAAGCCAGAGAGCTACAAGGGGTTTTGCATGAAGACAGATCATGCGAGGGCGTGCCTGGCCTGGGCTCTGAAAACAAACTTTGTGTCTCTAATCCCAAGAAAAAGCAATCACTGAAATATTTGAAGGCAGGAGGTCTCTTATGTGAATTGGCCTGCATTTCACAAATATGTCTCTTACCGCAGTATAGTAAGAGCAATATTTCAGCTTTGTGCTTGTTGCAATTTTGCATCTTCAACACGTCTCTGCAAGGAAAGAGCTGTCCTGCTGTTTGCAATCTTATTTCCACTTTGGAGCTAGAATGAGACCTGAAGGAGGAACTGTCCTTCGAGTACGTCTGCTTTGTTTCCCGCGTTTCTTGCCAGAGATATCAATATTGTGTGATATGACATCAGAGCTGTGAAACAGAGCAGCGGGGTAAGCCGACTTGACATTTCCTTAAACGTAAGTCCCTCACTTCCCCTACTCTCAGTCTGGAAAGCAGCTTCTAATTCCACCCCAGCTCTCAGGTCAATGAAATTGGAGGTACTTCCAGAATTTTCCATTTTGTTATGCACACACATCTCTATTATCTATCGCCAAGATAAGAAACTTGAAAAGATCACTGGAATTAGCAAAAGAGTAAAAGAAGAAGTTAGAGTTTTGTCTGGAGACCCTCTGCAGGGCCATATTGCCTCATTCCCTTTGCAGTTTGCACCTTTTCCACTTTTGACAGCTTTGATACATGACTGAAGCCCCTTTTAAGGAGCCAATCCCACCATGCTTCCTTCTTAGAAGATTCTGGTTAGGCAGGTCGCACCTCCCTCCCAACCCTTCCTTCAGAGCAGTGCCAGTGAAGGTTGGGAGCCCCCTGGTGCCCCTGCATTGTGAAGAATGTAATGGAAACCCTGGGTGACCACAGCAAAATTCGACATCCAGTTTGCCACCCAAGCCTCTCGTCTGCATCTCCTTGTACATCACGTTCTTTCTCTCCTCTAAGAAAGCATAATTTCTCCAAAGGCACCACCTCAAAGACCAAACACTTTCTGTACAACAAATAGTAATAGACTGTGCGGCAAGTTCTGGCTGCCAGTACCACTGTTTGAGGTGAAATTACGCAAGATGGGCACTGGGCCAGATGCGAGAAACTGAAAAGGAGGGGCCAGTTGTAAACTTGTCACTTTTCTAATAGTCTGTATTTTAGGGCCTGAATGCAAAGGTAGGTGGGAACTGCATTATTATAAAAGTATGAGCCGGGCATGGTGGTGCACACCTGTAATCCCAGTGCTTGGGAAGCTAAGACAAGAGGGTGACTGAGTTCAAGGCCAGCCTGGCCTACATAGTGAGACCTTGTTTGAAAAAAACAAAAACAAAAAACAGTTGTGAAGCAAGAACTCTTCCCAATCTTTTGTCATGTTTATGTCTTTGACAGTCCTGGGTGATAATAGGCACCATGGAAACTTACTTATCTAGAACCAAGTCTCTTTGAATCTGAACTGTGAACACAGATAGTCTCATGATTTAGAATACAGTTTATGAGATTACAAAGAAGACGTTTGAACACTACATGAAGATATATGTGTCTGATATTGGTCGCCTGATGTTGAAATGTTCATCAAGTAATAGCAATGAGCAGACTTAGGTTGAGAATGAGTAGGTTTAGGAACATTTTACTATTTTAGAAAGTTGCATCTTCTTTACTAAGACATTTGGAAATAGACACCACGGAGTCAGAAAGAAGACAGAAAAAGAAAAGGGAATAGCATGAAAAGAGTGGCAAGAGAAATTCCAAAAGAGTGAGAACTAGAGAGAGAGAGAGAGAGAGAGAGAGAGAGAGAGGAGAGAGGGAGGGAGAGAGAGAGAGGTGGGAGAGAATGATAAAGAAACTCCTGAAAGCAGTCAGAATCATGAGGAGACTCCAGAATAACTGTGGACAGAAAATGAACCAAGTGTGTTTGTTAGACTGAATAAGATAATCTCATGTATTTTTTGTTGCTGCTGTCACCAAGCAATCCTTAATTGAAATATTTTCCCCATATGTCTTACTATCTGGACAAGTGGCTGCTCCAGTTTGGATGTCATCTATTATATCCCAGGAGTGGTGACCATCAGCATTTCACCCACAGATTACAGGACCCAGAATCTCTTTGAAGATTCTAGAAGGTTAGTGCTCTGTCAGTCAGTGTTGATGATCCCACTACATTGAGTATCTTTCTGTTTCTTTTGGTGTCTTGGTGCTCCCTGGGGTTTTTGATCAGGCAGAGGCAGAAGGTAACACTAAGCCTGGGCCTGGCTGTTCTCAACAGCCTGTTTTACTGTCATCTCCAGAAGCAGCTGACTTGGTAATACTGCCACTTCAAAAGAGAAATCAGGGGCTCGATCTGGAGGCCAGGGAAGACACGGCAGCATCCTCACTTCCTCTGGGGCTTTGATCTCCTTGGGGGTCTGACTTTGGCAGTAAGGTGGAGGCAGCTGCTGTTAGCTAAACTCAGATTTGGGATGACCAAAGAGGGTGCACCTTGGTGTCCTGCCAGCCTAGAGACAAAAGCCAGAAGCTGGTATATTGTTTTAGTCCACTTCTGTACAGGAACTTTTAAATCCTTTCAAGAATGTGATGGAGCATAAGTAAATAATTGAAAAGAGAAACAGAAAAGATTTATGGTGTTGAACTACACCAGTAACTAAGGCAACTAAACAATGAAGGAGGAAGAACTACAGGGAAGTGAGAAGGGGCCTTTGGGGTGAGTGTCCTATCGTGGCACTTTGTATTTAGGGTGGGATTTCTGTACTATAAGGCAAAAGGGGAAGAGATCTAGTGAGCTAGTGTGGCCAGGTTACAACAACAAAGGCAACAACAATCATAAACAGTTTAAAATTCTATCAGGAACATTAGTACTTTTCTGGCTATAAAAGTTTTCCGTGCACTATAGCAGGCAAGAAACAGAAAAGGAAGTAGGAAAAAGGAAAAAAGGAAGGAAGGAGGAAGAGAGAGAAGAAGCAGAAAGAGACTGGTTCTTTTCCTAGTATTTTGTATTGAATTACTGGTTTATAATCTGTCACATACTTTGGCTTTAATTATTTCACTTGATGAAATAAATAAGTTACCCATGTATAAACACCGAATAGTCTCTCTGGTGTGAAAAACTATAATAGCACATAAGATCCTAATGATATAATTGTCAATGTGAAATAGGAAGAAAGGGGCTATTGGTGTAGGGGAAGTGGGAAAGGTAGGGGAAAGGTAATAGGGGAAAAGAAAAAATAAGAGAAAATGAAAAAATGGAAATAAAGTATTTGTAAATAGGGAAGCGAGGAGAGGGTGAAGGGAGGGCAGGGACAAGGGGAAAAAATGAGAACTAAGACCTGTCATGTAAAGGTACAAGATCCCAATGATATATGTAACTGTACTGTATGCCTAAAATGAACCAATAAACTCAATGAGAGGAAAAAAAAAATATTTCACTTGATCCTTATAAGCACCATGGCTTAGATAAGGCACATTTAATGATCATTTTACGGACCCAATGAAAATTTTAGAAATAAATAAAACAGTGTTAATAAAACTGACATACAATGTACAAATCTCAGAATTTCCGACTCTTAACCAAGTTTCATCTACAACCAGTTTCTTTAAAGATGTGGAATGTAACTATTAACGCAGGGATTCTGCCTGTTAGATTGCCTCATAATTAACTATGAAACATTTACTCAACTGGAGTAGAGTTGACAAATAAAAATTCTATATTTAGTCAGGCATGGTGGCATATGTCTACAGCCCCAGCTCCCTGGGATCTGAGACAGGAGGGTCATAAACTGGGCAAGAATGGTGGGTTACGTTTGCTCAGAGAAAGGGGAATATGTTGAAGGAGATTAATAGCAATGTGTCTTTTACTGTAACGAATTTAAAAAATTTAAATTTTCACTGTGTAATTTGGTCACTCACCATAGACACAGAACTCATAGAATTCAGTAATAAAAGGACAGCTGACCCTGTGTATGTAAAATGTAGAAGAAATTTGAAAATATATTTCACAAAATAGAATATGTATAAATGGCCTATAATCATATGAAAATGTGTTCAGCATCATTCATCATAATGCAAATTAAAATCATAATTAGATATGACTGCATATTCACCAGACAATCTAAAATTAGAAAGACTGAAAACAACAAATGTTGGTGAGGATATAGAGCAAATGGAACTCTCATATAATGTTGGTGAGATTTTGAAATTTTACAACCATTTTGGAAAATGGGCCACCAGTTTCTTCTAAAAAATTTATCAAAAAATAAAGTTAATCAACTATTCATTGCACATTTAATTTATTGAGAGATAATCTATGTGCAAAACTATGCATACTTAATATGGTGATGGTGAATTTGTACATATGCATACATCTGTGATAATATCACTAAAACGAGCATATGCATCATCTTCAAAACTTCCCTTGTGCTTTTCTGTGGTTATTTTTAGGAGGAGGTAAGAACACTTAACTTGACACCTTTCCTTTTAATATATTTGAACTTTACAACACAGCTACTGTCTTATATAGCAGATCTCTACAATTCACTCAGTAATCAAGGCACAAACTTTATACAAAGTGTGAGTAAAATATACAAGTGGATGTTTAAAAAACTTGTTACAGTGAATGAAACATTGCCATTAATGCCCCTCAAAATACTCCCCTCATCTCAAACACACTGATCCCATGATTCTCCCAATGTCTGAAGCGGTTCTGGAAGTCCTCTTCGTGAGGTCTTCATAACTTGTAACTAGAAGTATGGTGAATGCTTCTGCTGAGGCCCATTGACAGGAAGTGGGAGGGGTAGGGGAAGGGAAAGAAAGGGAAAATATGAGAAAAGGAAAGACATGCAAACAAAGTCTTTGCAAATAGGGAAGAGTGGAGGGGGAGAAGGAAGGGTAGGGCAATGGGGAAAAAATAAGAACCAAGATACATTGTGTAAAGGTGCAAGACCCCAATGATGAAGGGAACTGTACTGTGTACCTAAAATGTACCAATAAACTTAATGGAAAAAAAAAGAAAGAAGGAAAGGCAGACTCATGAAAGCGTGTCCTGGTGCACTGGTTCAATCCCGTGTGTGGAGCTGCTTGCAACACCCATGTCTGCTCGAGCTGTCTTGGAGGTGGGCGACTGATAACTCCGAGGACTCGGAACATTTTGAAGACAGAATGTTTTGCCAGTTCAAGCAGAGATGAACCTTAGGGGACAACAAGGAGGCTCCCCAAGGGCACAACCAGGTAAAAGGTAATTATTCGCCAAATTGTCATTCATTGGTACTTGCTTGACTGCTTGCTACCTAAAAAAAAAAAAAAAAAAAAAAAAAAAAAAAAATCTATGCCCAGCAAACTCCATGCCTTTGCTGTTCCTTAATAAATTTGGGGGTTTGAGTCAGTTTGGGGCTTCACTCCATTCTGGTGAAGACCCCTCGTCCCCAAAGAAGATATTCTCTGCTTCTTGCATCTTTATTCATCTCTCTATCAGGGGTTACAGGACCGAACCCTGCACCAGGGCTGAAAAAAAGTTGAATTTTCAAGATTCGATATGATGAGATGAGCTCACATCAGTTCTGCTCACTTAAATGTAGATGTTTACTTACTGAAAAATTACTTTGAATGATATTTACTGAGTATTTGTTTTTATGCAATTCTATTTGTAAACAGATCTTACAGGTTTAGGTAAAATCTGTGCCACATAAATCAAATATCAAGTTAAATAATCATTCATTTCTTCATCTGTTTTAATGCTCACACAGCAATTTTTGCAGTATTCAGGTAAACTCCTCCGTGCACTGAGTCTTATGACTTTTTTGAGATACTTGTATTCCTGCAAGCTAAGACCTTGTTTGGATTATATACTATTACTCTCGGTATGTAGATTGGTTTGTAATGAATAATAGATAGTCGACCAGTGCCTTTTTAATGAATTAGTAATAATGGTGGCTTTAAAAAATGTTAATGGGAAGTTGTCAGTATTGTATGTTCTCATATGGAAGGAATTTAATAAACTGTGCAATATTTTTAAATTACAAGTTTGGCAAAGGCCCCCAAATATAAATATATATATATATATAGCTCACAAAACAACATCCTCCTACTCTTGGCTATAGGGGGCATTTGTTACATAAAATTTCCTTTGCAATAGAGCAAATGTTACCAGTTACTAGTGTAGAAAAATATATGCTCAATAAAAATAAGTCTCTTATAAAAGTCAAAAGTCTAAAGAACAATGACTAACTTAACCAGAAGTCACATGTCCTGCAATCTCAAAACTGTCATGGATTCCTAAAGTAAATGAAGTAGCCCGTGAGTAAAGAGAAAGAGAGAAGAAGTAAATCCAGAGTACTTTACCCAGAAAGGAAATACATAGCAACAAATAGACTTGGGATTTTACTTGGTTGAACCAGTCTGTATATTTATTTTCTTACAGGAATTTCTGTGTTCACCTGTTACAATATAAGAGAGGGAAAGTATCATCATCATCAACAATAACAACCACCACCACTGTAAACAGTGAAGCAGAAAGGAGAGAATAACTCTATATCTCAAATCCTGGGGGCAGTGAACAGGTGAAGATGTCCCAGAGAACATCATAGTAAAGTCCAACAATGGAGCTTCATAACCAAGACCTGGAGATATCAGCGGTAGCTGAGAGCATACGCTAATTCTTGTTTCCCTTTCTTCCTGGGCTCCTGGGCTTCAGCAATTCTGGAAGTTCTCTTTCCTGAGTGTTTTAAACTGCACTTCAGTGGCTGCCGCGATGTCCTAAGTCAAGTAAAAACATTTACCTCCCATGGCCATCTTGACTTTGGAAAGGAGCCAGAAGGTTTATGATGCCAGATCTGGTGAATGAGGTGAGGACACAGCACCACGTTGTTCTTTGACAGAAATTGTCATAAACATTTTGACTTGATTCAGGGGATGAGGGGGCCACAACAGCACAACAAAGGCACTCACAAATAAGGACTTCTAGAGTGGAAAGAAGGAATAAGTGTACTGAAAGATGGGGAATTTTATTCACTGTTTTAAATTTGGATTTTCACTGTATTCCGTGATCATACCTCGCCCATCACCTATAGTTCTAGCGCATGAAGTCTTTTATAAGGGACCCTCCCTTCTCCCTGCAGTCTACTGTGTGGGTGTTGGTGGTCTGGTGGTCTGAGAAGCTGCATTCTGAGGATGGCAGAGATACTATGAGTTTGAATTTCTGAATATTTATGATATTCAAATCTCCACTGCCTCTGATCCAGAAATCCTGTTCTGGCCTCTTTGTGAATGAGAGGAAAACTTAAGTTTTTTAACCAACTGGGTGTGTTGCAAACCCAGTAACTACCATCTACATGTCTCTTATAACTGCTTCATATTGGGCTAGTGCCACCAAGAAAATGAGTTTGTAATTTTATTAAATTTGAATTGAGTTGCATGTGGATCATGACTATTATATTGGACAGGGCACTTGAAGTAGAGCTTAGCAATGTTTCCTTTTCTTTTGCACCTTTCACAGCAGCCTGACCTTAAAATAAGGCTCTATAACTCATGCATGGCATAGAAGATCCTTAATAATCTCTCCTCTGTGTCTATCTCCAGAATCTCCTTTAACCATGCTTCCCTGAGTGTCAGATTTAATCCTAAATCAGTAGAACTGCTTTTCTAACCCAGGCCCTTCCTCTCTACCTCTTCTGCCTGACATGCTTTTCTCCTCTATGGCCATTGGCAAATGGCTTCTCATCTTTCAAATTTAGAATTTATATCACCTCCCCTTAAGAACACTTTTCTGACATACCCTAGGATGGATTGTTTATTCTCCTGTAACCTTATACACTGATGTCCTGTCACCTACAGTACTTCACTGCTTTTGTTTGTTTTTATGTTTCTTTTTTCTTATTAAACTATAAATTCTTAAGAATGGACTGTGTTGATTTATTATTTTTTCCCTAGCCTTTAAGACTGCATCAAGTCTAATGTCAATATAATCATCAATAAATAGGACATTTTGGAGACAGAATTTGAAGATAACCTCAACTATTCTCTGTTTACCAGGAAATTAAGAACTGATGATGGCTGGATGATGTCTTCTTTTTCTGTTATTGTTATTTTTATTTGTTTGGTTTTTTTGAGGCAGGGCCTTGCTATATACTTAAGGATGGCCTTGAACTCATAACGTAGCCCACGCTTGTCTTAAACTTGTGATGATCTTCCTGCATCAGCCTCCCTCCCAAGTCCTGGGATTATAGGTATGCACCATCACAGCTGGCTGGATGATGTCCTCTGTCCCTTTTACTTGTGCTCAGAAGGAGGTGCTTTTGACACTTTGCCCCGGTGAGCAAATAATCATTGCTTATGGTTTACACAATGAAATCACAATAGCACATTACATTTCTTTGTTTAGAGAATGTCACAAAGCATCTGTCATTACAACATGTTGATTTATATAACAATCCCTGAGGTACTAACCTGACTCTTGGAAAATAGCAGAATGTAAACTGGCATATGATCAATATGTTGGATTGGGTAAATTTCATTAATATATCTCAACCTGTCACTAGCAAATGGTCATAATAAAAAACAACACATGTCAAAGTTTGTGCAAAGGTTTGAATTACAATTCTTGTATATATTTCAATAACATTTTCCATGCTTGGGTGATATGACGAACCTTTGAAAACGAAATGAAGCCCTTCGCTGAACATTTCTTTATTGAATAACTTGCAGAGTGGCATAAATTTTCACTCTCTTCTGTTGCTCTTCATTTAGTCCTGTGGGTCCGTGCTTCCGTATAAGATGATTTCTTGTACGCAAGTCTGCTAGCATTAAATTTCTTTCAGGTTCTGTTTTTTGTCTTTCAGTTTTTATTGATTTTTACTTTTATTGCCTTTTATTTTTGAGGGGTATTTTATGAGTACAATTTTAGGCTGGGGCCCATTTTTCTTTCTTCTTATACTTCTATTGCTTCCATGCACAAGTTTATAGTCTCTTTTATTATTGCTCCTTTGAAGCTAATATACTTCCTCCCCATCCCTAGTTAAATTTGCTATTTGCTCTTTTGTTGGTGAATTAAAGTAATCGGACTATATCGTGCCTATTTATTTATTTGTAAATCCCGTATGGAGCTTATTGAATATCTTGAACTTGTAGGGTGCTTTTATCAGGTTTGAAATATTTTTGGCCAACTTTTATTCAAATGTGGGACAATTTCTCCTGTCCTGGAACTCTATTCACACAATTCCCAGTGTGCTTCATAGATGTCTTAGGCCTTCGTCTGGTTCTTTTCTTACAATCTTCCATCTGAACATTTTCCTGTTGAATTGTTTTTTCATTCTTTAATCTTCCACTCTTTTCTATCTGCTTTTTAATTACCCAATGCATTTTTAATTTCAGATATTATATTTTATATATCTTGAATGTCAATGAGTCCATTTTTTCTAAAAATATGCTGTAATAGACCTTCATTTCATTTTGTCCATATCCTCTTCTATATTATTTAGCACAGTTATCAGTTATTTTGAGCAATGTTCACTCAGTATCTGCAATATCTCTGATTTTTTTTTTCCTCGTGACACTTTTATCTCTTCATTACTCTTCACTGTTTCTTCTGTTTTTGCTTTTCTGGGAGGTTTTAATTTTATATGCTGGACATCATGGGCTATAAACTGTGGGGGCTTCAGACTATCTTATCCTCTGGAGAGGGTGAAGTTTTTGAGGGGTAAGGATTTACATTGCTGGAGTCTTACTGAGACCTGGTTTTGGATTCATTAGGCTGGAGCCGTTTCATGTCTGCACTTACACTTAGAGAATATCCCTCACTTCTAGCACATGGTAATTACTCTGAGGGTGCGGCATTTCCGTGGTCTCAACTGGAAGCCCAGGAGGTTCTCAGAGGTCTCTTTTGACTCCTTGGTCTGGGACAATTCAACTTTGTCTAAGTATTCTGTATCATTGTAATCTCTGTTGAGCTCTCCACTTTCAAGTAGTTTTTCCTACTAAAGCTTTTGTAATCTTACCTTGTAAATATGCAGTTTAGCATTTGGCCAAGAGTCCGGGGAAAAATGTTTACATAGGTTTCAGTGCTCTTTGTGTTTGGATCTGTGACTAATAATTATACTGGTACATTCAGAGGCCACAGCAGCCAAGGTTCAAGGAGTGTGGCTACTGCTTAAGCTGGTGGAAGACCTTGATGCTGTGTACAGGGAAAGTCCCTTGAAAGGAGGGTGTGTGAACCTGCAGGAATTAAGCCAAAGTTTCCGTGGAGACCCCAGGAATGCAGATTCAAGGAATGTGGACATCTGCTGAGGAAAGCTGCAGCCAGCAAGTGGAGCCAGCCTAAGTGAGAAGCCACATGGGCCATAGCTGGCAAGGCTGCAGAGGTGGGGCCACCTAAGCAATATGAGACTCACAGCTTATCACCAAATACTCCAGATGCTGGGCATGGAACACTTGAGGTTCAGTCTGCTGGGTTCAGTCTTGCTTTGGCCCTACTGACTTTTTGTTCTCCTATTACTGCATTTTGGATTGAGAATGTTTACCCTGTATCGTTGTATATTTGATTAAGTAATTTGCTTTTTGAATTTTGTAGTTTCAGCTAAGAGTTTCCTTTGCGTCAGAAGAAACTTTAACTTGGAATTTTGAGCAATGATGAAACTTATGAGACTTCGAGGAAAGGATCAGTGCATTTTCAGTTGTATGCAGGATAGTTACATCATATTAGGCAGAATGATGAACTTGCTGTTGTCTTTATGTGGAGATTAAGTGTGATTTAAGGAGCTGTGTTTGGGTGTTAGGTTGGCAAGGAACAGATTGATGCCATTAGTTATGATTGTCAACTTGATTGGCTTGGGAGCCTCACAGAGAATTAGTAAGGCACACTTCTAGGTGTGTCTATGTGGGTCATGGAAGTGTGACCTTTAGGTCAATATTTGGTCCTTTCCCCTTTGTCACTGGCAGTGTTTACCTGCTCTGCTTCCTAGCTGCTGTGAACTAAGCAGCTTTTCTCGGCCATTTTTTTATTGTTATGTTCATGCTTTGGAGCCAGCCAACCACAGACCAAACCCCCTAAAAACCTAAATAAACCTGTCGTCCTTTAAGTTACAGGTGCCAGGAATTTTGTCCAGCAACAGGAAAACTGACTAATGATGTAAAGCCTTTCCTGTGTAACACCAAATACTACTGTCAGGGATGCTTTAAACTTCAGTCTCAGCTTTTATGATCCAGCAAGACTTCTAATTTTTGGACATTATTTCTTTGTGTCATAGGTTAGAAAGTGCTTTCAGGGAGAAAATCAGCATAATGTACATTTTATCTCTGTGATCCTTTTCATCTAATAACCAGTCCTGTATTGACTGCTAAACAACATTGCAAAAACGATTTTCTCTGCCTTTTATAGCTTTTTAATATGGGAAGATAAGTTTGATGCCAGATATCAAACCAAAAGACCTTCCATCAACAGAACCCAAAGACTCTCCTGACATTCATCATTTCCATAGTTACTCCTTGCTAATGTCATACTCTCATATTTTTATTCTATTTCCCTTATCTTCTCATTTCTCATAAGTTAAATTGCTTACTCTTAAGAACAAAAGCATTCTGCCCACCTTTTCTATGCATAGGAGTTACTTGCCCTTTCTGGTTCTGTTTATTTATTTAAAATTATGGACATAATAGGCCATGTGTAATAGGCAGTGTTTCTTTCTGTGTGTTTCAGATGCCTGCGATACTAGAGTAATCTGAAGATCTTTTGAAACATACTCTATCAGAATCCTGTCTCCATGATCCCTGGGGATCTGCCTTATTTTACCAAGTAGCAGAAGTGATCCTTGTGTGATTAAAGTTTGAGAACACTGTAATAAGGCCATTGTGAAAATTAAAGGAGTAAGTTTTTATGAAGCATGTGAAACTTAACTGCTTAATAAATGCTAGTTTTCACCTTACTATCTGCCACCCACGTATTTTGGAAAGATATTTTAAACAGATGTGTGAATATACAAAATATTTTGAACCTATTAAAAGAGTAAAATACATAGTCAAAGAACTCCTGCTATTAACTAAAATAACTCAGAGTTATTGTTACCTATTAGAACCCTGAATGAAAGAGAAGGTTGGCTCCAAACTCAAGGTGATTATATTACTTAGAATTTTTCAGTAGGCAGAACCTGTCAAAATATTTCCATTTTTTCAAGTATGCTGAAGGATCATTACTCTTTCCTTTCCCCAAAAACTATGAAAAAGAAATTAGAACTCAACAAGAACACACTCTAAATATGAAAGAAAGAAGCCAAAGACATTATTGACCTGACTTGTGACTTATCAAAGTAAATTCTACTAAACGAAGTATCAGAAATGGCAAGTATGCTGTGAGATTCCAACATCACAGCACCACATAAAGTTAATGGTCTTAATTGTTATAAGTGATTTAGAGGTTCTTAACATTCATTAAAATAAAATAAAATGAATAACCCCTAAGTAATATCCTCCTTGGCTTAATGACATAAAGAATCAATTGTGTATGACATTTAGCATGCGTTTTTAGAAAATTGGCTTCCTTTTTAGAAATGACATCCAATGCATACCTGCAAGGCAGTGACCATCAATTACCTGATTATTTCTATTTTAGTTATAGCATAGTTCTCACAGGAAATAGATCACAGTATTGGGGCTTTAGGGTAATAATCGTGCTTTGCTGCCTTCAATTTAGAATCAGTTGAGAAAATTGTCAGAAATTAAGAGGTACAGGGATTAGAACACTAGCCTTATTATTAGTAAACACAAATTGGAAAGTTTCTGGCATATATGACCATAACTGGACTTCCCACCATCGTTATACCAAATGGATCAGGTAGCTCAAGAACATGGACCCTACACAGCTTCACTTGCATAGAACTGCAGTGCTACACTCTTTGATCTGCATCCATCACAGAGCCTCAGGCTACAGATCTTCAGGTAGAGAAATGTGTGGCACTGACCTGTGTGTGCTCACCTTGAGGGTGCAAGAATAGAGCACAGTCCACTCCTCAGGGCAGATAGAAATAAAGAGACCAGGAAATCCCTCTGAGTCATGTGTGTGTTTGATCCTTCCACAAAACTTTACAATAGAAAATTTCACTTTAAGGTCGAAGTAGGAAGTTGGAGTAAAATATGTCTATAAATCATAGGATTTTATTGGAAGTTCCTTTTTAGGACTCAGAACTATACTTCCCTGTCTACCTCCTTCCTTCCCCATAGACCTGCCTGACCAACTGCTTAATGGAATTCAAAACAGCAAAGGAACTCAGAATAGATAATGACCAAATACTATCACCGTAATTCACAAATGCTTTTCCTACACTGTACCCAGTGTTTGGATAGATTTAACTATAATACCTATTTATTACATTTCTAATGCTCTATTATATATGTCTGGCATTAACTATGTATCACATGTGTAGCTCAGATGTGAGTTGACCTTCAAGCTTCAAATGAAGCTGGCTCAAGTCTCTCCCTATGAGGGGTGGCAGATCCTGCATGTGCATGATGTACTGGGCAGCAGGGGCTGGGTGTGAAGGGAGGGATGGCTGTATCACCATGGCCTCCTCTGGGATACTGCTTCCAAATAAACAGCTCGATTCCAAGATGGTCCTTTTCTGCCAGGTGTTCTGTTCTCATTCCATAAAGTGTACATTGAACACAACTTCTTTCTTTCATTTTTACCAAAGTGACAAAAACAAAAACCACTCTCAGTTTGGTTGCTTTAGTCTAGGGTCCTTTACTGCAAGTTTATGGAGATGGTTTTGGCAGGGACACAAGTTGAGATATTTACTCTGTTTCTTTTATAAAGTCATTAATATGGACGGTATGGTACTTTCTAACATTTATTCTTTCCTTCTTTTCTCTTGCTATTGTTTTTCCTTCATGATTAAATTCCACCCTTCCCTAAATTATTTTATTTTTTATGCCATTTTTTCTAAGTTCCACTCTGAAATACAGCCCAGGACTTCAAAGTTAAAGGCATGGGCCATTTCCTGTGATCTTGTTTCTCCTTTCCTGAGCTCCCTGAGAACAAAGGAAATGTATAAAGATGTATTTCCCCAATCAAGTGAACTAGAACTTCAGAAGCAGATTTCACCTTTTGAGGGTTTTGATTATTTTCTTTTACTTGTATTAAACACAAACTGGATCTCTGTCAGTATGCCTCTTTCTGTCTCATTCTATTATAAAAAGGTTATTATTTTCTACTTCTACTATCTTAGCACTACCTCTATAATTTAATAAGTATAGTTATAATACTTTAAAGATTCCATAGGAATTTGATTACCCACCTGGTCTTAATTATATCTGTAGTCTATGTTACATAATTTTCAGCGTATCAAGATGACTAACCCTTAACATTTCCATAGTCTTCTTTATAATTCTTGACATTTGAACAACTACAACTAGAATTATTTTTATTTCATACATAAGAGGTATACATATCCGATACAAACAAAACATATGCTCTTTTTCTAGGAACAGATTTTGTTTATGGAATGGGTAAGCAGACTACAGGTACTTTGAATATTTGAAGGACAAGGTTGCTATTGAGTAAAAATTGAGTTAAGAAAGAAGTCAAGAGGACATGCCAAATTTCTCTTATCATATAATTTGGCTGATAGAGTCCACATAAAAACTTGGTAGCATAGTCTTATCTCTAGCCACTTTATTTCTGAAATAGCAGTTTTTTAAAAATGTCTGTTTATATTTCCATCCACTTACTTTTGGTAGCATTGTGTAGCTTGTGCCCAAATCAGTAATTTGGGTGCAGACATAGCAGTCCTACTAACTGGGAGAGCACGTAAGGAGGCTGACAGAGTTACTCCCTAAGGGCAAAACAGTATCCCAGAAAATACTTTCTGTGTCTGAAAATTTTGATGAGAAAGAGTTCTTTTCTAATCCTTTACTGAACAGAATGGGAAGTATTCTCTTGAGTAGAGAAAACGATCAGTAAATTTATAGCGTGCCTTGAACCTTCCAGTGAAAGCACCCGGAAATCTGTATTGAACAACCACTCCACCTAATTTTTATTATGAAGAAAATTTTTAACACACAGTAAAAGTGAAGGGTGAATAAAATTCCCTGGGATGTCTTTTCTCCCCAAGCAGTTTCTCCATCAAACCAAGATTTCCAAGTGAACACACCAAAGATCACCAAGCAGAAGTAGGGCTTGGATGTGTCATGTTCCTTGGGTGTTTGGGAAGACAAACCTAAGATATCAGCATCATCTCAATGAAATTAGAATTCAAAGGGCTTGAAAGAAACACTACAGGCTTGTGAGGAAAATGACCTTCTATGTTTTGTTAATTCTGAAGGATTATTATTAAGTTTAGCAACCCTTCTTTGCTTCACTCATTATATTCTAAATTCTTTAAAGGTAGAGATGCTGCCCCAGTCCTCACTACAGCTCCAACTGTAATGTAAGATGTGGTCTATTTGCTACAATTGCACAGTGAATAATACAGCAGATATTACAATTTCCTTGTTAAAGAGTATTCATTTTTAAAACTTTGGTGCTTAAAGAGTGGAAATTTGTTAGCAAACATTTAAAAACAGCAGGTACATACAAATTGAAAGTGCTGCAAAATTGAGGCTCGCGCTGCAAAAAGGGATATCACAGTTGACAGCAGTTTTATGAAAGTGCCTATACATGCTTGATTCTATTGCTCAGACAAGTGAAAATTTCCCCAGCTGGGTCTTTACTTTAAATTAACCTTAGTCTCCAGCAGTAGGAGTAATTATTTGGTTCTGCATTTAGACACAGTAAAGGAAAGAAATTCTTCTTTTATGCCTCATTAGTCTACAGAATAAGTAACACAATACAAATGTCCCTAAAAGGATTAATGATATAGCTCAAGATAGCTACCACTTGTACTAATTGGAAATACAATCATCATTTCTTCTGATCTGCAGATCTGGGGATGAACAAGGATCACAGCTGAACAGTAAGTAAAGATACAAGTGGAGAGAGATGAAATCATTCTAAAATCTACTATTTCCACTTTGTTCAACACTGTTTCTCACTTTTGCATTTTCCTGACAGCAGTAGGCAAGGGCTGCATGGCAAAGTTCCAGGATTATTGAGCAGCAAATAAATGTCCTAAATTCTCAGTGCTTTGGGCGTGTTCGTAGAAGTTTACAGGGAATCCGTGTAGAGATGACAGAATCTAAGCATTGCTCCAGACTCTGGCTGACATGTAGTGAGATGTATTCTAGCTGATGTACTTCAATCCTAGAGTCAAAGAAACTTGTTATTTGAGACAACCCATTATGTTCCACATGCATGCGGGAAGACTCTGAACATTGCACAATTACTAATAAAGAATAAAATGTTGGGATTCAATTGTAGTTATCTATTAGGTATCTAGTTGCTTTTTATCATATCTACTTGCTTTACTGCATAGAGCTCAAGAGTATTTCTGAAAACCAGATTCCTCAGGCTTCAAGCTTGGCTCCCCCACTACTAGATAAATAATTATGGACACTAACTTAAATGATTTGAAACTCAGGGTTCTCATCTGAAATGTGAATATAATAATACTGCCTGCCTCACAGACTTGTCATGAGAAATAAATGAATTAATTGATGCAAAGGGTCATATTATTTGGTCTATGGCAGGCTCTCTCTGTATGTTGCTATTCTCTTCATAGCACTTTCACACAGTAAGATATTGGTTATTTAAATTATTTTACTTATTGTTAGTAGGATGTGCTTCACTAGAATGTAACCTCCACAAAAACAAGTATGTGACTTGTCTTGATTATCACAATATTTTTAGAATTCAGGCTAAT